TTAGGAGCGGAAACGTAAAAAGTGAAAATTTTATGTGAATTCGACGATTCTATTCACATAAAATTTTCACTTTTTACGTTTCCGCTCCTAAAAAAAATTACATGATCGATGCTTAAATTCGCTGTCTTATCGACACTTGCTAGTTAGTTGAAACAACAATCGCTATTAGCGCTTTGATTCCGGATGAAAAGTGTGAACGTTTTGAGATTACTGGCGTACTTATTCGTATTAAAAATGCAAAACGAGGTTTGCGAAGTACGAATTTTTGTCGGGAGTGTCGATTAAAGTGACGGGCGAGTGTTGAGAGTGTATTATTTGCCGCGAATATTTGTGATTAACGTCGATTTCATAAAATGCTGCATCGTGATTTTGAGTCAAGTACAGGGTACACGTCTTTCCCGCGACCGTTAGTCGTTTGATTCGTTCGCTCGTATAATCAGTTATAATTAAGTGCGTGATCGCGTTGCAATACAAAGTGTGCGTTTGCGTTTCGTGTTTTGTAAATATGCGACGCGATTCCGCGATTTTCGCACGAATAAAATATGCAAGTTGTTTTCATTCAGTGGTGCGTATAACGGGGGGTGTGTGTGTGCGCGCGCGTGTTGGTGTGTGTAAGTATGGTTTTCAACATTCATCGATTCCTCGCTGGACGTAATGCAAAGCATTTTCAGGAGGAATTTGCATTGGAGCAAACTGCAATATCCTAGCAGGTAAATACAATTTATCTTTATCAAGTATGTATTAAAAATATTTATCAAAATATTTGTTAAAACATTTATTAAATATTCATCAAAATGTTCATATAATTATTCACGCAATTTATTGTATCTATTATGCACATATCACGTTCAAGGTTATGATTGAATCAAAATGGAAACAATTAAATAATGTATAACAATCACATACATAAAATATATAACAATGCAATTAAAATGTTTATTAATTATCTAGGTATAGCTGGATGGCGTACGTAGTTAGGATACAACGATCGGTGAGTAAATTAATTTATCATACTTTAATTATTCTATAAAATACTGATATTATCTGTTGCTCTTTTATTTATGAATATTTATTACATAGTTGCTAAAGATTATGATAATTATATGAAAAATAATACGTCCTCGCCTGTGATTTGCATTTTTACAAACAAATAATAAAATATAAAATTCTTTCTATCTTGATAATGAAAAATTTCAAATTTTGCACAAATTATGTATGGAATTTATTACTCTTTTAAAATTATCAAATATTTATAATATAATTTATATGAAATTAAATTTAAAAATCAAAATTTAAAAAATATAAATTTGAAGAATATAATGTTCAATGTAATTTCAATGTTTATAAATGTATCTTTTACTTATTCTTGTAAAAGAATGAATTATCAAAATACAGTTTCATTTGCACCATTCATTGGTGTGACGAAAAAGCTGTGGTTATATGTATACAGCAATTTATGTAATTGAATTACTTTTATGGAGCGGATTTCATCGACGTTCTAATTATTTTTCTGCAAAACGTCATAAATTTTGAGGGTCTTTTAAAATACACTTCGCAAAATGGCTTTTTCTGCATAACTAAGAAGTATTGGTACATTCTTTCTTATTGCAATTCTATATATATTGCAATTCTTTTTTATATTACAATTATTTAATTATTCAAATATAATACATATATCTAGTTATTGCTAAAATTTAATACAGTTTTTAATTGGCAAAATTTTAATTATATTTTCTTTATAATACATATTAATATTAATACTTTAAAGCAGAGCTGAGCGTTTATGCAATAAACAATTCTGTTTTTGTTAATTTTTGTTAATTTGATAAAAGTCCATATATTTTAACACACATTATAATTATAATATAAAAATATTAATAAAATAATAATAATGTTGTACTATAATATTATATATATATATTATATATAATATTATATATAAATTATATAAAACATAAAATATATTCATTAAAAATAAATTTCATATTTTTTATTTAAAATAAAAATTTTGTTAATCTGCTGTGGTAACGTGATAACATTTTTATATAATATAGTCATTTTTTGGAACCTTTCAATTTTAATATATATATATTCATAATTACTCAGATGAGAAATGCTAATTATATAATAATTTAAATATTAATTTATAATGATTTATATAGGTGACATTGCGCACGCGTAAAAACAATCTTTTTGTTTAAACATAATGTTCATAAAACATACACGCAAGATTGATGTAGATATAATCATAAAATTACCAGTTCTGCTTTAAAGTATAAATATCTGTGGTAAGTAAATATTGTATTTGTTATAAAATAAAATAGTTTGCTGCTCACAAGTATCGACATGCAGCGTTCATCAGTCCTTATCAGTTGGTGAAGAGAGAAGTATCTACTACAGATACTATTATCTATCTCTTATGAAACAGTATTCGAGAAGTACCGATATTCGGTATTTTATCGTACTGATTAAATAAAAACTTTTAAATAGCAATACTTATAAATGTTTGCTTTAAATAATTTGCAGAAATATGTAACATAATTATATGTTTATTTAGTATGTTCTATTTTGAGAATTATTAAAAAGTATTTTTACTTATCATACGATTACATCTATGTATCAACTAAATCATAAAAGATGGTGCTGCTTATCTTATCAGTTGTGTTGATAGTGCTATTATTTATTGTTAAATCAAAATTTTGCATACACACAATATTAAAAAAATAATTAATTTTTTTTTTTTGTAATTGATCTTTTAGTATACGCATAAAATAATTTATAAATTTAATTTCTATGTTATCTTACACAATATAGCCACATTTCTCACAACAATATAGATTCAATCTTTATTAATCATTTATATAACACAAATAATATAAAAATATGTTATAAAGACAAATTATTTTAAGCAAACTGCTGAATACTATGAATATATTATTGCTAAAATTAAACTGAGGTTTGTGACATCATGAATTGACGTGTATAACTGAAAAGTTTATACGGCTAGACTCAGTAGAAGCGCAGTGCCTCGTTTCACCCAGAAGTCTGGACCTTGCGGTCCAGCTTTGAGATCTACGGCGACTACGAACGCGGGTCTTGTTTGGTCGCCACTCCTTTGAGGATAATAATAACATGGGCAGCTATAGAGGTCTGCAAAAGTTAAGTAAATGTTGATTGCAATTAAAATTACACTTTTCCCATTAATATCATACTTGCGCGTTGATTAATGCGTTTATAAAATTCAAATACGGTCAAATAATTTTAATAATTGCACAGGGCTATTCTCTTACCTTTGGCTTTCTTTTTAACTTGCTCGACGGGTCGAAAATGAATTACCGGCATGTTGCATATAAGTTGCATGGGCTCGGGCTCGATGAGAACGGCATTTTCTTTATCCCATCCGGCGCCTTCCAAAAAAATAGAGCGTATATATGCGCCATCCTAAAATGAAACAATATGTAATCGCACGCGTTCATGATTGTCATCATAATCGATTAGAATATGTGTATGTGATTCGGTTAAAATAATATATGTTCTTCGCAATAGGTTGCCATATATTATTATATGTGACAAAAAAAGAGTCATGAGGATCAAAACAAAAATTTTTTACATATAAATTTAGAATATTATTATAGAATAATTAAATATCTTTTTTCGTTTAAAAAGCAATCCTATTGTATGAACAATTTACGTTAATGAGATATTTATTTGAGGAATGAGCAGCTTTATTCCAGCAAGGCAATAAGCTTCTTAGTAGTAGAACAGTGCTTGATATTAGTGGTTCTGGACCAAAGCCGGTCCGATAAGCAATTAGCCTAATCGCTCGTAGTTACCGTGGGTGGCTCGATTATGGCGGACTCGTCCGTTGAAAAGACAGTAAACTCCCATGACAACGAATCGATAGATACGTTCCATAGTCTCGCCGAAGTTTGTAGCACCGCAGTAAGGAAACCTGTCGGAAATGTATATGCTGCTAGCCAGCAGAGCAACGGCGGATGAGTGGTTCGAGCCCAATTGGCGAAGTACTCGACTCGATTGATTAAATCCCTCGTCCAAGCGCCGAGCAGTTTCAAAGACGGATATGCGATCAGCCATAGAGACGGTACCCGGCCTTCGTATATGCACGCGAAGATTTCTTCCAACTCTCGCGACATCACTACTAATCCCATAATTCCGCGTTGAAGTTCTTCCAGACTCTCACGAGTTTTTCTTAACAACGCATTGTAGCGTCCTATCTCTTGCAGAAGCACCACGTCCAATGGTGTCTTATTCGGCCCAATCAGTTTCTCCGTTGTCTCGTAATCGATCGTTACCGGTATTTTTGAGAGAACGTCGTCCACGAGATGCATTACCTGTAAGACACGATGCGAGATCGATCAGTAATTACATTTGCTGTAATATCAGCACAAAATTGCTGAAAGGCAAAATTAACAAAGTTACGATAAGAAAATGTCCGTGATGTAAAAGCAGTGATATCAAGATTGCTTACATTGAATTAAATAATGCAAAGATCAACAGAACCGATGTTCTTATTCCGCGGTATACTTATTTACTCTCTTTTATTTTATCAGATAAGAGGGAAAAGTTTACAAAGTTAAGATAAATAAATTTATAAATCTGTGCTGATTTATCGCCGATGAGATCGAGAGCTTTATTTACTTACTTTTTCTTCTTTCTTCTCATCCATTTCGACGTTGACCTGCTGTATTTGAAGGCTCATCAAAGTCTCAAACATGTTTCTGGTTTCCATTATGAGGCAGGCGATATCCGCGTTTGGATGTTGACCAAACGCTTCCGGCTTGTCGATGTTCGGCAGAATCGCGATAAAGTCGCGGTAGGACTCCAAGGAGCCGTCGCGAGGCACGTAATAGGTGGGCAGTGATGACAAACGATAATGGGGGATAGTCAGGATGTCTTCCGTGAAATATTGCTGGACGTATGTCATCAACAACCGGCGATCCCAGTCGTCGGTCACGTGACCACCATAGCAAACACCTGCTATGAGATATTTCAAAGATTCCCACGGTGTGACTGGATATTCATCCAGGTAAACTTGCAGCAGATTCTCGGAAACCTGCAACAGATATCCGGCTATTATGACAATTGTACTTCTTCATCATCGAGCGTCAGGCTGCGACGAGCCGAATTTAAACGTAAAGAGTGCTAACTTGATTCCCGAGATATCATTTCGCTAAATAAATCGTAAATGAATAAAAAGCTTCCTATAGCGTATGCCGCTTACAATTTTAGCTGGGAAATACCTCGAAATCAGAATCGTTAAAACTGTAGACAATGTTCCAACCGAGTTGTTGGAATTTCTTTCGCTCTAGAAGAATAGAGTGGAAAAAGACCAATGCGAATAACAGCTTTTTATATTTAGACTTTTCTTGGCACAAGTCGAACTGCGTCTCGGTGATTAAACCATAAAGGCGCTTCATGTTGGCTTTTAATCCTTTCGGTGGCTCAGTGGTCATTTTTATCCCGGCTTGAAGGATCGATATAGGAAATTGAGGAGTCGGACTCGAACTAAGCCATAATCTATGAAAAAATTAAACCAGCAATTTTGAAATGTTTGCTGCAATATATCTAATTAATATACAAATACTTGGGGATTCACAATTATATTCTTCGTAAGAAACTTTATTTATTTTTAAATATTTTTAGATTTGCGATAAACTTGAAATTTCTATAATCTATGATTTTTTTGTAGTATGATATATCATGCGAGGAATAATATTGTATAAAGAAATAATATAAGATCATATTTCGTAATTCTGGCTTACCTAAATCTTGGGTGCAAAGTTTGTCGTGAACTAAGCGTTTCCACGATCTTATCGAGTTTGGGCATCCAACTGAGCGAGAGATGACAATTCGCGAGAAATACCCAAGATCCTTCTTTGGCACCGATTTCTATCATGCTGCGCAAAGAATAAAATGATATAAAAATCAATGAGAATATAATTTCACATAATTATAAATTTGACGAATGTTCTTATAATTTATTTTAAATGCTTTATTTTGAGTATTATTATATAAAAAATTTTATTGCATGAACAAAATGGAAAATATGATCACGTATTTAGGTCTTATTTTTTCAAAAGTTCAAAGTATATTTTAAATATTACAATTATATTCTACAATCACAACATATAAGTCTTTTTGCTACTAACTTTGTGGCAATAGGCGCCTGCCCTTGACCTAATGATAACGTCATCAATCGAGCAGTCATGCTCTGACTGTCAGCTAATTGTATGAGTGCACTGATAGGATCCGCGCCGGGCGAAAGCACGAATATCAATGGTGTCTGTGCTATGGAATCATCTAGCACCGCTTTTAGGTCAAGTACAGGAGGTTCTACAAAACGTTGACTGAGATTGCGCATGATATAAGTCGTGATGCAGGAAGATATTCTGTCAGGTCGACAGCTGCGAATGAATAACATTTTCTGAAACTCGGTGCACACTTCCTCCCATTCTCCGACTAGCGGTATAGTTTCCGGCTCCGTGCTGATGTACCTAAACATTAGAGGGATAAAAGGACATCACACAGAAAACATATTTGCTGAAAATATTTCTAACAGACAACGTAATTATATTTAAATAAATAATTGTAATATTTTTCAATGCAATTTTAATTTAATGCGACAGATATCATTTTTTTTATATAAAAATTGAATAGCGCAATTATACATAATTTTTATAATTAATAAGTAACTTCTTTGTGTTTAATTTATGCAAATTTAAATGAAACACAAGGAAGAAAGCTAAAAATCGCATTATAGCAGTAATCTATCAAAAGGGATAAAAGTGTCGAAGTAGCATGACAAAATAATAACATTGTGTAACGTTGTACGCACCAATTGTGCCAGTCTCGCGGGAGTTGTTCAAAAGAAGATACGAGTCCGTGAAATCCGGGCAGCTTGTCGAGTTCGGTGACGTTGTCCCAAGTTTCATCCGGCAGCCAAGGCACGGGTTTGTCCGGCTGATTTTCTCGGTCCAGCACGATCCCGCCGCACAGCAGAAACGCGTATTCTCCTGGGATGATCTTACCCTGCGCATCCAATATCTTGACGCACATGTGAAAAGAGAAAAGTAGCTTGTGCTGCTCGAACAGACCTCGGCACGTGTTCCTATCCGTAAAAATAAAATCCGTCGGATCAATTTTCCTTAGGATTATACATCTCTCTTCTGTATATTTCAAAATATCTGCGACGCAAAGGGATTATAACGGTGTCACATCTCGGCAAGTTTGCACGTCTCAAGCTAACATTTTTCACGAAACGTTGATTTATGATACTATGCAAAAGATAAGGTTCTGGTGGAAGTAAGATACATTTTTCATTAAAAACCTTTTTGCAAAGATTACATATTGCGTTAGTACACTTTCTCTTCTAAATTAATTTCAAGAAATTCTTTTCAAATATTATCACTCGAGATAGTAATGTACGTAGATTTCACATCGCTCTTTGATGCAAATTAGTAATCACTTAATAAAATGATACGACGTATTCGTGAATTTCAGTTGCAATTTTCAATTAGCAAATACCAGAAACGTAGAACTTTGTAGTAAAAATAAAATTGCCATATTTAATCATACCTGTAAACCGCGTAGGTATGATACTCGTTCAAGCTATCGATCCTCTCGGACAAATTTGTTCTTTTGGGGCTCTTGTCGATGGAGAGCATAAACAGAGCGTTGTATGCATCGAGGGAGAACTGATACATGGGATCGATAGCGCTCATGTCGTTCAGGACGAAAAAAAGGATCGCGGCACGTTTCGAGCATGGTCGATATCCCTCTCTCGCTAGATCTATCTCTTTTTCTGTCCGTTCACTAACAGCTAAAGATTCCTGAATGGAGATAGATGTTGCCTTTGATGTCCGCAGGGTGTTCAGCAAGTTTAAATCGTCCAACAGAGATTCTCCCGCCACGCTGAGCAGGCTGACAGAGAAATGTATTTCAAGTATTTTGTTAATTGCCTCAACTAATTACTCGTAAACATCTCTGAGAGTTAATCATCAAGACAAATAATCACGTATTATTGTGGACTGACGTAAAACGTATTGCGTTTGTGTTCGAAACGGAAAACGCTTGGGCTTAAAGCTTAAAATATTTTCTTGTAGATCTTACTGAAGTATTTTGTCCTCTAGTTCTTTGAGGGTCTTTTTATCGGATGCAATCGTAAGGACCAGATTGTCTTTTTGTTCCTCGAGTTGCGGCTTCTCCTTCCTGACCACGATTCCTAGTAGTTGCGCTTCGAGACCTGCACACGGAATAGAGTTATATTCCCTAATCTTATTCTAGCTTTCTCTAAAGTATATGGTAAGACAATTACTTACCCTGCTCCTTAATAGTGAAGTTGCATAATGTCGTTTTAGTTGATATCTCTGGAGCGTAGTGGGGATTTGAGAGTTTTGTAGTCATAAATAGACGGAATTGTTCATTGTAAGTGATCATTCTATCGTTAACTTTGATCATCATTTGGTCACCTGCAACGCGTATCATCGTAAATGCAGAGTAACGAAAAATTGCGGGCAAAATTAAACGAAATTCACTACTGTTGCGTTCTATAGCGAACGTTATTTTTGTTGTATAGCAGACTAATCACATTTTTCAGCAGAATAAGATGGTTAAAAATGTATTAATGAAAATTATTATTAAAAATATATCAATATTTTTGTATATTAGTTCTTTTTAGAAGCGATTTAAATGGGAATTTTATTACTGGTAATTTTTTAGTAGCTCGTAATATTAACGGTTAAAGAAACTTTTTATAATTTCCACGTAAATGTATAACACAATTACGTGAATATAATTATTATATGAAATCGACGTTGAGTTCTACCTGATTTAATGAAAGCTTTTTGGAGAATCGGGTTCAAGCCTGGATCGAGGGTCTCTCCGATATTTTCGAGCAGTACTGGGTTTCCGAACTGAATTGCTTGTTCCAGAACTCTCATAAAGCCCGCTTGACCAAAGTCGATTACTTTCAGTGACTGCGATTGTAATCGTTACGTTAAAATGACAAAGTAAATTCTCGGATTTTTATCGGTTAAAATCTCGATTTATCTCAAATTTGTTATTTAATTTCATATTAAATCCAATATATTGCTGCGATGATATTAGTTTCTTTGATGGATATCGGTAACGCGGACACGGGACATTTACGTTTTTTGCTTCCATATTTTTGATCCACTTCACCGCTTGACATTGTGGATCGATTACGAGGGGCCAACGCGTTCCTCGCGTCACTATGATGCCGTTCTCCGTGCTAAATCCATCAGACGGTAATCCCTGAATGTTCCACTCCCTGATTGTCGACGGATCAGCTAGGAACTCCCTCACATCTAGATTTGGCGACGTTGATATTTCTCTATCTTGCACCTTAATTGTGCGATAAGTTCACGTATAAATATTGTACTTGTTATTTATTAGATATTTAGATATTTAGATATTTAGATATATTATATGTAGTGCGGTTAAAATAAACTTTCTGTTTTTATATAAAAAAGACCGATCGCGTTTTATTAATATCGATTGAAATAAAAATAAATAATTATAACAAAATAGAAACAGTAAAAGTCAATTTTCTCGTGCAATTAATTTTGTTCCAATTAATGACTTTTGTTGGGAATATAAATGGCATTCCACGTAATAATTCATTAATCCGCGAATTCTACGCAGATAATTTGCAATGTAAATTGATAGAAAAAGTATGATAAAGAGTACCAAAGACGATTCTCGAACTTACTTCTTTAGACCAAATACTTATTAGTTCCTGTCTATAATTGGACACAAACGGGCCCAGATACGACACGAATCCAGTTGATATCAAGCAATCACCGGGTAGCCACTCGAAAGACTCGGCTAACGACGCCACTGTATTTTCCCATCGAATTCGTTCTTCGGAAAGTCCGTCCACTAGCATCGCCGCACGCTCCAATTTCAGTTTTAACATTTCAGCCTAAAGGAAAAAAGATTTTTACAGATGAAATATAATCCAGCAAATACCAATATCTTTGATTTATTGTCAAAAAAAAGACAAATGTTGAAATATTAATTAAATACAGGTTGCTTTTCTTAATTAATATTAAAATAGCTTATATATTAATGCAAATATTAAGAATCAGGTTTCATTAGAAGTAACTTCTCCATCAACTCTCGAAATTTGCGGTTTCATTCTGCATCAATATGGATGCTAAGATTCTGTTGAAGGGATACATCTTGCCATGGAAACCGAGCGAATGCGAGCTTCTGCAGTTACTAAGGTATAAGTTTATAGAACTATGAGTGTTACTGGTGGACGGAGAGCCGAATTGAACTGGCCGACTTCCTTTACCGGTCCATTCCTTCTTGGCTTTATGTGAGATCATTTCGTCTCTAAAGTACAAGAAACACGGGTGTACTCACCAGCCTAATCAAATCCTCCTTTTCTTTCATCTTCGCGTCGTACATTCTCTGTAATCTCTCGAGCTGTTCGTGTAAGTTCTGCAGCTGCTGCATTGCCTCGTCTAAGGCCATTTCCTTCTGCTTCAGTGACTCTAGCGCGGCCCACAGTTTTTCCCGTTTCGGTGCCACAATCCTACGACGCATCGCGAAAGTGTAAAATTAGGTTGTTATTCGTAAAAGGAGATGATACGACACAGAAATTGATTAATAACAGTCACTTCAATGTAGTTGTTGCTTTGTGGAAATTTTAAAATTTATGAGAAAAAAAAATCAAAGGAATAAAAATATATATTTTTTATTATAGAAATATATTAAATCGCAGATATTTATATTTTGTAGAAGAAAAATGTGAAAAATTTGACGGATTCGCGTGTTGTGAAATTTTGGATAAGTTACTTGTATAGTTTGCCGTATTTTTCCATAGCTATCACCCACATACAAAGCGACTTGGCTGCTACGGAGACCGCACCGACCTTTGCAGGATCGAATTCGGGATTGGATGTGTACTTGGCTATTGTTCGTAGAACTCTGTCCGATATATGATCTTTGTCAAAGTCTCGAAGCTAGAAATCAAATCAGAGTTAGTTTGCGGAACGAGTAGAATAGTCTTGTCGCATACAATCGCAGCATTGTCACTCACTGTATTAATGAAGTTCACGTCGCTAAGTTGGCGTTTTGCTTCCGCCCATGTCGGTTCCGAGTTCTTTAGGATCATCACAGCTTCCATTACCATCTCGACTTTTGGCGGTGGACGCGTAAAAGATTTTATTTCTGCTAAATCTTTTTTGCTCAATGCTTCCAACGCCTAGAATCATCCGCCATTTTCTTATAAATTTATTTCCATCAAATTTTCAGCACATTTATTGCTTTATCAGTAAAATATTCTTCAAAAAGCAAACTGTTAAAAACATGTACGAGATATATTTTGCTTTTTGCTGTCGATTGCAGATTCTTCAATACATTTTTCGAGAATAGAAATTTAATTGAGAGATTAAAGTCCTTTTATCTTCAATCGTTTATAATCCAAAGTTATTGTTACTTCAGCGTTGCATTTATCATGCGAATTCTTTTACCGAAAGAGCTAAATTATTTTATTTAAATTAATAATTTATAAAACACATAAACCGAGAAGATTAAAGAACAAAGCAATCAGAAGTTTTAATATTGTTTGAAATTGGCTAATTCACAGAAAATGATTCGTTAACAACCTTAACGGCTTCGTTCAAAGCAGGTTCGACGGACGCTAAATCAGCTCGCGCAAGCTCCTCGAGCTTTTTGCATTCTTTCTGCTCTTCGGCGATGCGTTGCGATTTGGCAGCGACTTGTTTCTGCGTTTCGTCAGCGTCACGTCGTTGGTTCACTGCGCATCGTAAGCATAACATAAAAATTAAAAGCGATGTACGATGCACTCGCCATAGGAAGGGAATACCGTATGATTAATTAAGTGCGCGGGGGAAGTTAGAACCAGCATGGGCGTTAAAAGCAATAAGTTCTTATAGATTAATCTGATAAATGCCGCTGATAATATATCACTGTCGCGTGGCGCCGTGTACCTATCGTTACGAGGAATTCTTCACACTCTCTCGTAGATTTATGAACTTGCTGCTGAGTGACTTCGAGCTCCGCCGCCATTTCTTTAACTTTCACCCGGGTATCGTCGATCTTCGAGAGACCACCGCGAAGTTTGTTCGCTTGATCTGCTAAATCTTGTCTTTTTTCCGCTAACATCCTACGCGATTCGAATACGGATAACACGAGTTTGGTCGAAAGAAGTAATATATCGATTACAAGAGAAGCATTAAGAATATCGAAGTAAATATACTAAATTAACTATGGCTAGAATATTATTATCCCGTTTAATCTTAAATTATAAATTTTCGACGGTTTCGTGCTTTCGCGCAGTTCTTACTTTTTATAGCCGACTACCAATTCGATAAAATTCACGGGAGTCACGTAATTGTAACGCTTCATTTCCGCGGCCATTCTGCGAGAGAATTGGGACACCGTGTCGTGGATCAAAGAGAATGATGCTGCAATTCCATCGCGCATTCGGTCCTGCAATGGTGGCAATGGAATAGCCGTCGCGGATTGCCGCGGTTCCTGCAGAAAAGTGCATTCTCGTAACGTCCGCGTTCGTTATGGCTGCAGTGTAAATTTTTTAACCGGTTGTACGTATCTGTATCCTTGCTTCGCGAACGTGATAAAATGGTTCCCGTGTAAAATACACTCGTATTGTAAGCCAGGATTAATGGCGATCTTTTATGATAGACGTACATTTTCATCTAATATTCTTTAGATCAAAGTCAATCGCGCTAAATATATAATTATCTCAGATAAATATTTCAGATATGTGATTATTCGCCCATTTTTCACTCGGCGATGTAATATCACTAATTGTAAGAATCATAATTGCGTTAAGATTGAAAGATATGTGAATAGTAAATAATTAGGAAATGATGTTTAAAAAGAGATTCTCACAAATACAAGAAAATTTTATATTTCTAGAAGTTTTATATATTAAATAGAAGAGAATTTTATGAATTTAACGGCAGACCAAACCGACTTCTGCCTGAAGTCTGAATATAACGACTTTTGTATCGTCTTCCTTTTTGATACGATCTTATTGAAGAAGCATGAAATAAAACAATTATTTTGTACGTTTTCGCAAAACAAATTATGACTATCAAATGCATTCTCGCGGAACTCAAACGACCAATCTCGGCTCGGACAGAAAGAAATGCGCCAGACGGCCATATCATCAGAGTGAGGCAAACCGTAGATGGGAAAATAATCGGATTCGCCGAAATGGTCGGCAAGAAGGGCGGGCGGGGAGGGGGCGGAAGATTGGTGGTAGGAAACGCGCGTTGATCGTAAGAATCGAATCGAATGGAATCGATCGCGCGGAAAGGGGAAGGGCGTACCCACCACTTTATTTTCGCCGGTGATAGTGAGCGTCAGATTGAGATTCATGAGGAACTTGTTGCCAACTTCGAGGAGAGCTTCTCTCGGCCATTCCAAGAACCAATCGATGGTCGTGCAATTGATCAGGGCAGGGTACTGCCGTAATCTGTTCCTGAAGGCATCGCCGATCGGGCTCATGCACAGGATCAAATGCATATTGGCACGCGCCCTCTCGATCAGAAAGGAATATACCGTTTCGCTCGTTGGTATCTTTCCAGTCTTCGTTACTTCCTTCGATAGCCTGTTTTTAATCTAGAAATCGGCGACACATCAGTATCCCCGCGGTACCACGCTCTTGTATTGATTTTATTTCCGCCGAGCTGAATTGTGTCGGAGGAACACAATTTGTATCAAAAGTATTTTAAGTGTCCGCGCCGCACGTATCTCGTATTATATTTTTCAAAATTTATTTAAATGGCTCTTGGCATATGTGCAGAGCAATTCATTCACATCATTCATGCAAATTCATTTACTTTATTCACACGGTCTGCAATTATTAAAAAAAAAAAACCCACTTCTGACACGGTAAATACAATGCGACCAAAAAACACTCTAAAATTTTTAACAGTATAAAAAATATTTTTGGATAATACAAAAGTAGCAAATAGAATTTAATGGAGAAACGAAACGGAGAATAATTAAGTGGAATATGAATTCCAGAAATTGGAATAAAAAAGTTGAAAGTACCGCTTCTGTTATCTTTTCAATTTCGCTCATTTTCTTCTTCATATAGAAAGTTCTATACAAAGTAATGTCGCGGATTACGTTCGAATAGAGATGAAACGATGGTGGCGTGGAGCGTATTAACCGACTTACGTCCTCCATTTCGTCGCTCTTGTAGAGATTAGCCACTTCGCCAGTACTCAGCATATTGTTGACAATCTCCAGAAACTGCTCCTCCACCACTTGGGTGTCGTTGAAGAGGAAACTGGTCGGTTTGTTCTCCACTCCAACTATCGAGTACAGAGTCTTGAGATCCTCGCGAAATTCCGGTATTCTATAATGCTCCGTAACGGCAATTTGATAGGTGGACAGATCGCATATGTAACTGGCAATACGTGAAAGCGATTGTCTGCCACTGCCACCAATTCCAACCAGAAGGGCATTACCGCGGGGCTGTCGAAGGACATTATTACAGACTTTTAATACTCGGACGGACCATATATTCGTAGCAGCGAATCGATATCACACCGATCATAATAAGTAAAATACGTAAAAATGTATAGAATTCTATTTCTTTCGTTATTATTTGAATGAAGGGTCGAATTTTTATTAAGATTTTATTTCGCGCGCGGAAACATATGATGTTATAATGACGAACTTGTAATTTTAACACGTACCGTCGGATAAAATGTTTGTTGTTATGTGGTACGCGATACGAATCACTAACCTGCGATATTACACGAACGATGCGACACACATGCTCGATCGCATCGCGAAACAGAATGAGATTGAGGCGCACCACACCGGGAGAAACATTATACTCGTCCATTTGTCCCTCCATGTGGCGTCTTACGGCACTGATATCCGAAAGGTCCTCGTATATGTTCCAGGCGTTCATGAAATTACCTGCAAATATTTGTACAGTAAAAGCTCGATAACCGTAATCATGTTATTAATAATAATGCCGATAATTAAATATCTATTAATTATTAATGTTATTATTATTGATACGTGGTGATCAGAGTGCATTAATATTAATCTGGGATGAAAGTATCGTGTGTGTTTACCAAAAAGAGGACATCTCTTTTCCGGACAGACATTATGAAAGGTCAACTCAAAGTACTTCCCAAGCTGATCGTTCAGCTGAGTCACGAACCACTCTCTGTCCCTGAAAGAAATTGCTCAGCATTTTTTCTTCTCGTGCCCGAGGCTAAATTAAGTTAATGCCTCTTGAGCGCTTACTTCTCGTCAATAAGCCGATCGCAGAAAACTCGGAAACTCTCGTGAACCCACAATCGCAGAAAGGTCTGCCTCGAATACTGATAGTCCTTATGGCTGCGCAACAAACCTTGGAAAACCTATCGCCCATTCGGATCGATACTAATTTTTATATTTGTGTTATCTCCGCTTTCATACGATTTCCGCCAGTTATTTTATGTCGATTTTTAATCTTTGATTCTTTGATTCGATTTTTACCTTCGAAATATCTCGTAGATTAAACAAGTAGTGCATCTTCGTTGGAGTAGGAAGCATCTTCTGGACCACGTAATTGTATAACTCAATAGTGGCACATGTTATCTCGTTTGCTGAAAAAAATGCAATCATAAAATTTATAAAATTATAATTTATAAAATTTATAATTTATAAAAATAACGATTAGATTTAATTGATTTTATTTTGTGCTTACATATCCCTTTCACTTCGGCGTGAAATTCGGAAAGCTGTTGGTTCAACATCGTGCCGTAAATCCTTATAATCTGCTTTTCGGTTGGGAAAGTCACGTTAATGACGTTGAACTTTGTGAGCAATCGATTCGTGATAATGTTGCGACCTCCGCCAGGTGGTCCCATCGCTGCTATTAATTGTATCTTTTGGATGTATTTTCTTGTTTGCTTCGCACGATCGTACCTATCGATTCCGACAATATTTCACACAATTATTGCAACAAATTGTAAACATTCCGATATATATTCTATGACATTCTTGTTTTTTTCCTGATTTGTTTCTATTTATTTTGTATTCGTTACATCTTCTTATATTTAGTGATTACGATATTACCAAAATCCATAATCAATCAACTGTCGAATCAATTCAAGCGGCGGCTGCGAGCCGTATTTCTCTTTCATGGGCATATTGAAATCGTCCATAAAAGCGATCATGGTTTTACCGCCTGTGGGAATGTAAACACCTTTCGTTCGCTTCTCCAGTCTGCTTTCTATGGCATCCTAAATCAAGAGAGCCAATGTAAAACGTTTATCCAATATTTAAAACTATTATCCATTTGATGCACGCTCGCAGTCGTACCTGTACATTATTGGATGTAGTTTGCGCTGACATGTTTACAAGCAGAACAGCGTATTTCGTGTCGTCTAGAAGCTCGAGCGCCGAACGGATAGTGGACGTTTTTCCAGTACCCACTGGACCCACTACGAGTGCCGGAAAACCATTCGATAGCAGGGAACTTACGATGTAATCGTATCGTACCGTGTCCACGGTAGGCACTATTATCTTGTAAAACGGTGCGCTGTAAATTGACTCAGAATTTACTAGCGGCTAGTTCTGTTAGGAGATTGCATAAATTATCAGCAGCTCTATCGATTTGCTCGAAAATGCACAGATACGATTGAATGTGAATATGAGGGCAATTTGAATGATCCGATTTGAATATGTATATAATTTGATATATAGAATTTGAATTCAGCTTAGGAGATTCTAATCTCTATCAAACGTACAATTAATGTATTAAAATTACGATTTATTATATAACTTTTGAAAATATCAAAAATTATTCTAAATAAAATTTATGCTTTGCCACGTTACACTTGAACATTGATTAAATGACACGCGCATTTACTCAGATTGAAATTTCCATGCTGGGGACAATTTTTTCTCCCACGAAATGAAATTACGTTGCCGGAAGTCCACGTAGTACTCGTAAACTGTGTCTCGCAACGGAAAGAAACTTTCGATCTCTCTTATGAAACTGTCTATCTTCTGACGACCTTCCTCGTCGACCGGGGCGCACAGTGACCATATCATGCTGCAACGTTGCGCCCGAATGTAGTTATTTAGTGCTTTCGACCACTATTAGCATGTCATTAACTCGAAACTTATAGTTTAATACGACTTGCGAACCACTAGAGAGAGAACTACAGTATTAATATCACTTGGAGATACCCAGCGGCGACGGCTAGTATCTGAATCTGTGTTGCTCGGAGTTATGAATTTGATCTTCGTTATTCACCTTGTCGAAACGTAGTCGTCGTGTAATATCAGCTATCAAAGTACACGTGAAAGGGAAAATATGCTCAAAATGCCGCACGTACCAAAAGAAAAACCACATTTTGCATATACTAGAGAAGGCATCGCGATCCTCGCCCAATTCAACGCCGTTTTGCGGCGTCGCGAATACTTCGAGAAGTTTGCAGAGCGATTGAACGGCGCTCAATTCGGGAACAGGCACGAGTTCCTCGCAATTCCGCCGCTTAAATTCCAACGTGACGTTAACGTGGCTCGTGAACAGCTGATTCATCTGATTGAAAAGCAATGAACTGTATATGACCCGCCACTCGACTCGAGACGATATCTCACCTCTTCGATGAATTCCGGCTGTGCAGCATACTTTTGCAGCCAGGAATCGACGTACGGACGCCAACCGAGATTCTTGTAATCGTTATAAACCATGCCTGCCCTGGAAACCGTCGCGGGCGAAGCGACAGCCAAGTCTTGCACCTCGAAGAGCAACGACACTTGATCGGGCATGGCGATACGGTCGTTATTTATTAACGTCAGCATCTTAAAATGGAACGATTTTAGTTTCCGGAACACGCTAGTTAGCCTTACGCAATTTTAGCTGTATCAAGGAAAAGCAAGAAGAAGGATGGATGGAGTATATATACCTTGTTGTCGTCCATGACACTGTTCATGTTCTCAATCCAATCAGCGTCCACGGGTCCGTCAAAGAGGATCCACTTTTCGTCGGCGGTATCCTCTGTCAAAAGAGCACGGAGCTTTACAGTAGCATGCTCTCGGGGCATAAATCACGTTAGCGAAACAAGTTTCCGTCCTAATGATCTCGTTTATATTCACTCGTCCTTTCGATTTCATTTATTGCTCGCAATTACCAGAAATACAGAAATCACGCGCGCGAATAATATTTTCGTTTTATCCAATTGAAATGTAATACAGTAGCATAGCATTGATATGTCATTTTACACATGCACGTATAATTATACGATATTAGTTATCCGTGTTTTATAATATTTTTTATACTTAAAACAAATATTTTATGACAGGTGAGAATTCTACGATGTCTCTTTTAACGCGTATGTCTGTATTACTTTGCACGAATTATTTCTCTCGCGAGTGTATCCATAGAGCGTGTGACATACTCATTACACTACACATATTACATTGCAATCAATCAAGCGTTTTACCGGAACAAGTTTTCCGCATGATGGACGATATCACCCCGTCGAGCCATTCTCCGGTGGAAAGATTGTACTCGCCGTAGAGTTCACTGAGACTCAGTGCCTTAGGATTAATGGGATGTACGTGAACGGTGTTAAAGCCCGGCTTTCCATCGCTCTTCATCGTCGTCATCGTATTCTGTAAAATCTTCCAGGTTGCGGTTTTTGCGGTGTTTGACGCGCCGACGATCATCGTTGAGTGACGCGAGCTCTTAGTCTCGTACAGCTCGATGACTTTCGTCACCATCATGGGAATTGGCTGTGTGATCCGTGTAATTTGGGCGATTAATTAATCTCGGGATGCCTAACGGAGGCGATTTATCCGGCATGTCCGAACAATTTCTATAACTATTTCCGTTAACGCCGGAAATTAAATTCTAAGGAGAATGATGATCTCAAGCGGATACCGGCGCAGTTTAATATACACGAATTAATATTTATAAGCATTGGATCGAATAATTCCCCGATAAATGCCCTTAGGGCCACGGCGCACGGCGCGTCCATAAAAAACGAGAACGTTGGCACCTTCCAGCTAGCAGAATCGTTGGAGTTACGTTATATCCTTCCTAAGTAGATTACCTGCAGCTTCAGCTTGATTGCCTCGTTGGTTATATAACTGATAATTTCCTCGTAATCCACGGTCGGAATGTCTACGTTGGGGAAAAGATCTGTAGTGATATCGAGAAATAGTGGTAAATCGTCCGAGGTGAGCTTGGCGATGTTCATATCTCTCATTGCGAGAATAATTACCTGGATAACAATTAACTTGATTGATATTTGATTGGTACATGCTAAATGTTACAAAATAAACACAGAATATATATATTGTGCAATTTCATTACTTTGTAAATATTTAAAATAATTGTGCACAAAATATTACATAAGCTAAAAATTATGCTATTTTTTTCGTCAATAAGATTAATGTTCTCTAATCCGTAGTTTTTTAGACAAATTCTAAAATAATGGAAAGTAAAATTTAATTCGGAAACTAGACTGTGAGTCTTACGAGTAATTACCTCGTCATCAGGCAAATTGGGATACAGCCTTTTCTTTTTGCCAGCGTATCGAGTCAGTGTTACTATGCCTCGCAAACCGAAATCATAGTGATTTTGCTTGCTAAGCTGCTGCTGAGCGAGAGAGTATAAAGTAAAGACCTACAAACAAAAATATAATATACAAAATTTTCGACAAGTTTTTATATTGAAATAAAAATATTTTTTAAATAAATTAAAATAAACTTTAAAATTAACAATTTCGTTACTTGCCATCAACATATTCCACATTGAAAAACAATAAATAAAAAGTATAATTATTTAATAAAATAATACATCTTATAATTGCTGTTTTACAAAATTATTTGTATTTATAATATTGAGAGATTATAAGTTAATTATTATGAATAACCTTTCTGGCCAACACGCGCGTATCTCGAAATCCTTCGCCAAACAGTCTAATTTCGGTGATCATGCTGCTGTCCGGCACCATCATCGAGATTGGTCGGAACATGGACTTTAAATTTTCTGGAAGTTCGGTACGTCCGGCGTAACCAGGATTCATTGTGATGAAGATGCCGCAGGTGTGTACGAGGGCTATATCGGTGCCGTCGAAAATGAATCTCGTAAGTCTCTGGGCGAGAGCGGTCAGTATCGATAGTATTTGTTGCGCCACTACCGATAGCACTTCCACGTTAATTCTGCGATTACGAAAGAAATATTTTTAGTTCTCTCTAATGTACATTCGTCTTGTCTCAGCTGTAGCTTTTACGTATTATGTTAATTATCTACTCTGCATCAATTCTATGTTTATTCTACAATATTTAGCATGTGTTTTATCAATTAAATGATAAAAATATAATAAATATAAAATCAAATAATTACATTTTGAAAAACAAAACTGGCAGAAAAAATTTCTATATATATCTTACGATAAAAAATATATAAACTAGTTGTACCTTCAATTTTAAAACACTATCTATTTCGGCAAATTTGATCATCCGTAAGAGATAAGATTTTTGTTCGTACGAGCAGTACCTAGACTTTAGGGCATTTACCGATTGAATTCGTCGAAGCATCCCCAGGCGCCGGTTTGCGCCAGTCCAGAAAATAATCTACCCATACTTTTGTAGTCCAGCCCTTCCGAGCAATTCTGTACGATTACATTAAAACCGAGCGCTTTTCCCAGATCCTTTACCGTTTCAGTTTTTCCGGTACCAGCAGGTCCCTTTGGGCTCCCGCCACGATATAAATGAAGCGCTGTTGTCAACGTGACATAACATCTATACGAGATAAATGCGAAAAATTATTTCGTTGTTTAATACGTAATAATACGTGACGCGTGTGGAAATGTAAGCTTAATAAGCTTAACAGAAGAGTGCGCTTTCAAATATTTATATCAACCGCAATTATAAAAGCCGCACAATTATTGCATTATACATATTTTACCCATAAATAAATGACATATTTTAAATATACATTTAACAAGCTGAAAATGGATGGCGCGCATTTATCGCGTTTTACGGAGCGCAAAGATTACATTTCTCGCGTGTATGCGACAAAGACTGTCATGCAATTTACGGCGTATTGGCGAACTATCTCGCCCATCAAGCGCCCAGTATTCCAGCGAACACAGCTGCAATCTGGCATTCGACTCGGGGAATACATCAGAAGCGTGTATATGCCCCGGCGCAGTTTGCGATTTAATGCGTCTACTAGAAACAAGGGGGGTAGTTCATCCACCTTTGAGCGGAAGGGAGAATCGTGGGGGTGGAAGGGGGGGAGAAGGGGGAGCGCAGAAGATTGAGATTCCTGCAGGCACGGAACGCCGCGGAAAGTGGGGCGCCGTTGTCTTCTTTTCCGCAAGACAAATTCCCGGGACCGCGGGAGCGGACAAACGTATCGAGATGGCAATCGCCGTCTATAAATTAGAACGACCGAGGGCGGTGGCCTTTTATCGCGATTAAATCGATACCACGTTAAGTACGCGGACACGGATATCGCTTGTCCCGCGTCGCAGCTGGCCGCGCTCGGTCCTTTGATGTGCGACATGACGCGCAAACTGTTCCACCCTCCTTCCTCTCCCGAAACCGCTCTTGAGATCGCATCGCATTGTCACCGTCGCATATTACATCGCGGACTGTATCGAGTTATACAGCAACGCGCATTTCGTGATATTACGCGCCGCGCTCCGACCAAAATTGCATTCGCGCGAACTCTCTAACTACGCGCCGCTGATACGACGCGGGCGTTTTGCGGCGAGCATTTCGAGTTCGGGAAGACCAACTCTCTACGTGCGTGAATTACCGTCCCGTTTGTAAAACGCGCATTCTGCTGAAAACGGTTAATGCAACTTTAAGCGCTTTAAGCCGCAAACGTGTGTTCTTTTTACCCGAGTTACAATTTAACTTTTTACATCAGCGCGGAGAACGCTTTCGCCACCGTCTTTTGACGCTTGCCTCTTCATCTTATTGTTTATTTAACATTAGCGCCACAACTAATTCTCTTGCATTTTAATAATCTAATTACCTTTTCTCATAATCTCAACTTAGTCGCGTCAAAATTAAGTATACGAAAGTTCCTCCGCGAGTACACGGAAGGCTCGGAACTTGTGCGTTTGAGCCAACAAAAGCGATCATCATGGCTCTCTCACAACAACATGTGACATTGTTCCCGCGCCAAGGCATAACTAGTTGTATGAAGTATAATATGCGACGAGTATCACAGGCTTGCGACCTTACTTTAATCATGTAACGTGAGCTATTTGGTTGCGATCAGTATCGCAAGTTCTCTCATTAAATACAACGGCGCACTTAAAACTTTACTTAATCGGACATGTGCGGAGCGCGCGGCATCAAGCAATCGCTCTGTAATCGCCGTCGCCTCGCTGACCCTAGCCGGGTTGTATTACATCGTAGCCGATGTGTCGAACAGTAAGCATTGGCCGCGCCGCGCCGTCGTCTGTTGCCCGCGCGCGTGACAGACGAAATTACGGCTGGCCGCGATCTGGTGCCAACTACGTGACTAACTATAACACGAGCGATAACCACTGAGAAACTTCTGTTTCAACATTGCTAAACGGAACGGAGTGCGCCGACCGACTAAATACGTCGTAACGCAACGTCACAAAGTAATTCTGCAAATGGTTCCGCAATCGAGTGCACACATATGCCACTATACAGATTCACTGTGCAAATTCACTTAAACGCTGTATATTTCGCCGAGTAATTGCGGTATAAAGAGTCCGAGTGCATCTGAATAAAATTGTTTCCGTCCTTTTTCGTGATAGCTTAGTAAAAGCTGAAGCAAAAAGCTAAAGTAAAAAGTATCATTCCCTCATATGTTTGTGTTATCTAGTTTTCATTCAAAATTGCACAACATTTTGCTTTTATACCCAACCATGTTATAGAAAAAAACTCGTTTAAATGTGCACAAGAAAAATTTTAGTTTTATATTAAAAAACTTGGAAGATATATAATGTTAAAAATTCAGAAATTGTAAAAAAAAGCGAATTTTTGTTCTATTAATTTCTATTTAAAAAGAAAATTAATGCCATTCTCTGCAGAGTTTGCTCATTAAGAAAAATTAAACAGAGAGTAATTGGAATAATAATCATAAAATTAGCTATCTAATATCTATCGTTTTGCGAACTAAGTGAAATATTTAAAGAAACATACCGATCTGTCAACGGAGTTATTACAAGTCTTCCGGTGTTACCTAAATACTCGTAACCATATACGAAATGAGTGTTCGTTTGCCGGACGATACAATTGTCGATGTCCTTTTCCCAATAGAATCTTAGCTGCGACAGCCATTCGAAAGCAGTCACATCTTTGCAATCTGAAAAATTTGGAAAGTAAATTTGTTTTATTTTGTTTAGTTCCATTTTTTTTTATCAAAATGATAAATAATATATAAGAGCAACGTAGATAGTTTAAGAAAAATTATGCAATTTAAAATACTACTTTACAATATTAATATTATGTTATAAATGTAGAATCTAATCTTTTCTTTTTTAAATTTATTCAGAGTGATAGAAAAAGATATTCGGAATATGTCCGATAAAATAATCTCCGATAAAAAGATTTAAATGCAAAAAGTTAATTACTGAAATTAATTACTTTTACATTAACGACAATCGCCACAAAGAATTAATATGGTAAATTAAAGAATTATTACATCCGCGAAAAGACAGTTTTTCAAAGTAAATTTCTTTTCGATTTTATATTCTGCAGAGGATAAATCATGCTATACATACATATTTTTGGGGACATTCTTTTCGAGATGTTAGCGATATATAAATTTACGAGGGAAACGCACTGGCGTTTTCTCGCTGTGACGCATCATACCGCCAACGATATAACGCCGGAACGTGATGCCGCTGCATCGTATGGTCCATAAAGTTCGTAATTTGTTGGTTACATCCGTGCTTACATTGAGCATATATTTTTTTTTACAAAAAAAAGTATACTGAAAGACTATTGAATAAAGATAAAAAAATGTTTACGGAAAATGGAAAGAGAGATGTATAAATTTGGACTTAAAACTCACTCATTTTGTACATCAGTTCGATTACATCTCTCGCGTGTATCTCGATAACGACAATGGCCTTGAACTTGAGCCGATCCAGCTTAGTCAGGTCGCCCCGTATAGCTTCCGAGTATTTGTCTAACGCCTGATTCTGTTTCTTCCTCAGCTTTCTCAACGGCTTCTTCGAGTCTGTCATTCTTGAGTATACGAGGGCAAATCAAACAAAACTAATTGGATTGCGAAATACATAGCTAACATACCATTTCGCAGCTATTCTACCCTCCATAATTTATCTGCTCGTTCTTAAGAGTCTTTGGAACGCCTTGGAGGAGAAGGAACCAACTTTTATAACGTTATCTTTACATTTTCGAAAATGTTGTTAGAGTAATGCGAGTGCTGTTGCCTTTTCTTTGTAGTATTATTAATGTACGGTTTCTCGGGCTTTCATAAGGTTTACGCGTCGACTAAAATGTAAGAGAGCGACTCAGCAGGTGGTGCATTTTTAGCGTTATTATTTTTCGCCGTCCGGCACACCCAGCTTATCCTTATTTTCCCGACCCGTGCACGCTGTCTTTGGCATCCCTTTTTTTCCCCGAGACATCCGTGTGCAACGGAAAGGTACGCCGGGCCTCGC